CTCTCTCTCTCTCTCTCTCTCTCTCTCTCTCTCTCTCTCTCTCTCTCTCTCTCTCTCCCCGGAATCAGATCTCGCATCAAGATTCTCTAAGAGTGCTAATGACAATCCACACAGACAACCAATGACTCTTTCACACTTCTTCAAGCTGCTCGATCGCCAAACAGATCAGGAACCAGCATCAAGGCCCCCTAACATTGCTATTGGCAATCGGCATCGAGAGCGAACGACTGTTTGCCACTTCCTTAACGTGCTCTGTCGAACACCACTCCCGGATCATTCGGTGTTCAACTACTATCTGTCAACCGGAGAAGGAGGTCCTTTCGGGAAGATRAATGGTGGACACATTTGTTGCAGGGGTACTGACGGGCAACTTGCCAAATGTCATGCACCAGGCTGGGTGTTCCGCCCGACCAAAGTTGACAGGTTCAGTCCATCAACTTGCAAGGTGTCGGGCGCCGGACCCCTGACCTTTTATGGAAAACAGCCTCTGCCCTTTTTTACATTGAGGTGTTAATTCGCATTTGATAATGATTATCAATGTACGAAGGGCTCAAAACGCCCCACCGCAACATTTGCCATGCCAACACCTCATATACTGACCATTTATCCTCACTTAGAGTGTCACATGATGCCCTATTGGGCCATGTACTGAGTGTTTATGCGCAGTCGAAATAGTTCACTTTTCGACAAAAAGTTCATTTTTTACGAAATGTGTATTCTAAGCACGCAGGCTCCTATAAGAGTGCAAACGGGACTCCGAACCGCCAACAACCGACCGTTTGGCACACCCGGAGGGTGCTCACTGAGACATCCGCCGAGGGACCTGCACATGTCCCTTTCCAGCAAGCTGACTGAACAGACCCCAATGCCGGTTTCCCCTCGGGACCTCATCCCTTTCCGCTCTCAATAAGACGCCTGAGGACCTTCGATCCTGGGAGACCCCCTTTTCTCGGGGCCGTTCCTACGCCCGAGTGGCAGTGAGCGGTATCTGCTGCCCCCACAAAATTCGACACCTCAAAAGTCCGTCCCATCTCCGTCCCTTCCACACACAAAGGGATAAGGGGAAGGGCCGGGGGGAAAAAATAAATACATTGAAAAAAAAAAAATGAAAAAAAAAAAAGGGACGAAACAAACAGAGAAAAGGCCAAGCAGCTTCTGTGCCTAGCGACTCAGACCACGCCGCGGTGTGGGAGTGAAAAGTTTACGGGAAGTCTGGCAGAATCGTGCGTCCGTTGTGGCGTTATGTGTTGGCGAACATGACCGAACACACACTCCAGAAAGAGAAGGGGGGAAAGAAAAGTCAAGGATAACTTGACAAAATCGTCATTTTAATTTGTGTCGGCCCCGAAAAAAACTGCATCCGGCAGAAGAAGCGAGGCCGAAAACCCGACGACCATAAGCATTTTCGTGCATGTCCCCGAGAACACCATGGAGCCAATCAGGTACYGCCTCCAGTGAAGCAGGCCGCCATGATCATGCGCACGTGCGGGGAGGGCTGGATAGGGCAGGAAGTGGGCCGTTTGCCCCCGCCATGAACATCATTGCTCGCAGGCGTCGGGGCGGGCGGGGGGGGCACAAAGGGCAGGAAGTGGCCTCTTTGTTCCCAAAGTTGGGGGGCGCGCGGCCCCACCAAGATCATGACTACGCAGTCGCGTGGCGAGGGGGCCAGACACCCGCCGTCTCTGCCCCTCTACTAAAAATCTTCCGTTAAATTGATTGAATACTTGCTTGAGCAAACTTTTATCTACAGAATGAGAAGATTCA